AGTCAAAGAAATTACAGGCAATCCATCTTGATATAGGATGCTTATGATATTCCCAATGTTCAGGTATATAGCCTTCTGGAATCTCTGGTAATTGAGCTTCACCAATGATCAGAGTTAAGCCAATTACTACTGGTATCCAGTTGATAAAAGGTAGAATTTCAGTAAAGACAAAGAACGCTTGTCGTAGAATCCAGAGGGCTTGATGAAAAACAGGTTTTTCCCATGGCCTCCACTGTGTCAAACAGAAAGGTCAGTCTTCAGAATGCTGCAGGCGAGGAGTCCCCTGGACCTGAGTGTCTATGCGGCAGCCAGACAGAAATCCCAACGTAGTGACTGAAGAGCCCAGTGTTTGTTTGTTTTTATTTTAAAAAATAATTTAAAGACCAGCATGATGCCAGAAGTCACCCCATCGTTGTCATTATCTCTATAAACCCAAATGCCCAGCTATCTGCCTGCTGTAACGATGGGACACAGTGACAAGCTTAGGCCCAGAATGTGGCCCACGGCAAAGCCTGATCGCAGGCTCTGCCTACTTTGGTTTGGAAAGGTCTCAGTTCCCCCTCAAGGCGGTAAGGGCTTTGAGGTTGGGAGGGGCAGTACTGATTCCTCCCACTCCACCTTCTGGCTCTGTGCACCTGCTTCCACCTCACAGCCCCTGAGGCACTGGCTCCCCCAAGAGCTGACAGTTGAGAGTTTGGGTTGTGGGAGCTGAGTGTCTGTCGGCTCCAGCTCCAGCCTCTGTGCCTCGCCTCCCAGAGGAGCCCAGTTCCTGGAGCCTGAGAGGCTCCATGTCCAGTTGCTGGGTCTTTCAAGAAACACTTCACCCGAGATCCGAAAGGCCAGCAGAGCCGAGAGTAGCAACGTGACCCAGGGGCAGGATCCCCAGTCCTGTGACCACATACCAGAGCCAGCCCTGGCTTTGTCACCTACGTCCCAGCTCTCTGATCTTCCAACCAACTACTTTCTCACTGCCATCGAGTCAATGCGACTCCAGAGACCCTATAGGACTTGTAGAACTGCCCTTGGGGGTGTTCGAGACTGTAACTCATTTTTGTTTTTTAATGTGGTCTTAGGCGAGATATTTCTCCTCTGAATCAATTTCCACCCCTGTCAAATAAAATCCTTAAAAATGCCAACTGCAAAGGAGAATTGGAAGAGCAACTTCTATAATGATGATGTCAGAGAGTAACCCTTCGTGGGTACTGACTCCAGACCCCAGAAGACACGCCCTACCCACGAGCTTAAGCAATGGTCCCTCACAGGTGCCCTATGACAGGCATGAGGGCCATCCCCACTTTACAGATAAAGAAACAAAGGCTTACAACGATGATGTCACTTTCCAAAGGGTCTCCACCAGTGGTAATAGGATGAAAATGTCTATCCCCTAACTGTCCCCTCCACCACTCACAATATCTTTAGCCTGGCTTCCTGAGGTGGCTGTCTTTGTCATGTCTCCCCACAAGGCATCTGCCTGTCTTTGCAGCATAGAGTGACACGACAGGCCCGTCTGGTTGTTGCCACCCAGCCACCCAGGACGGTCAGCCTTCATAGAGAGGGCCTTGCTCTCAGTGTGGTCAAACCTCCCCACCTGCTTCCATTCAGCTCCAGGGACCCCAGCCTGCAGCTTCCCCCTTCCAGACTTGGCCTGTGCTTTGGTCATGGGGACTGCTGGCTCAACAGGGACTGCCCAGGCCCTAGGGGTCAGGCCTGCTGGCTCTGGGACCAGTCTTCTCCAAATCCCCGTGGGTCTGTCAGCCTGGGGACAGCAGGCCTGTCTGGCCAGAAGGAAGACCTGAATCAGAAAAGCTGGGCTCTTATGCAGACTCTCCACTGCTCAGTTTCCCCAAAACAAAGCGGGGCCACGGTGTGTGTGTGTGCCC